TTGGCGCCCTGGGCTTCCCCAACTGTGGGGGAGGGGGGCAATCAACAGGACACACATCCCCATCTGTGCCCCAGACCACCAGGCCTCCCTGTACATCAATCTGAACGGATACTTTTCTGTTATCCTGCAGGCTGTGTCTGACCACCGGGGCCAGTTCGTGGATATCAACATGGGCTGGGCCAGCAGAGCACACAATGAGCAGGTTTACTGCAACGCCTTTGTGTACCAGAGGCTGAACGCCTGGACTTTCTTCCCCGACTGCCACATCACGGTATGAGATGTGGACATGCCTGTCTGCCTGGTGGGGGATCTGGCCTATCCCCTACAATCCTGGCTCATGAAGCCCTACACGGGACACCACAAACCTTCCTGACAGGCATTTAATGCCAGGCTGAGCAGGGCCTGCATCATAGTGGAGGATGCCTTCGGCCGGCTGAAGGCCATTTTAGATGCCTCCTCACCTGCCTGGACCTCTCAGAGCAGAATATTCCACACATGGTGGCAGTGTGCTGCACAATTTGTGTGAGCGGAAGGGGGAGGCTTTCCTGCCAGGCTGGATGGCAGAGGCCGACCACTTGGCCGGCCTGTACACAGAGACCCACATGGTTGCCAGCTGGGAGGCCTATGATGGGACTGTCCATATCTGGGAGGCCCTGCGGGAAACCTTCCACCCAGAGGACTAACAGTCTGCCTGGTGTGCCCCTTATCCCTCCCTAATCCCCCTTCCTGATGTAAAATAAAAGATACGTGCTCATGAAAACAAAGTCTCTTTATTGAACAAAACTGGGATGGGAGGGAGGATGAAACAGATGTGAGACTGGGGAAAGAAAGCAGGAGAGGGGAGGAGAGAGGATGAGAGAGAGGGGAGGGGGAAACATGGAAGGAGGGAGCTGGAAAGGGAAGACAAGGGGAGGAGAAGCTCAGGGCTCAGGGTTGGGGGTCTCACTGGCCCAACTGTCTCCCACCACCGCGGGTGCAGGTACCTCAGCATCCTTGGGGGGGGGGGAGGAGAGGGAGAAGTGGGAGGGGGAGAAGGAGT